AACACTTTTAAGGTGACACTTTAAATTCAGGACACTCAGAGTGCTACCAACGCCTCTAAGCAATTACACACTACATCTTCCATCTTCTGGCAAGTACTGACTGGTGAACTACTGCTCATACGCAGGCTTTTGAGGCTCTTCTGCTTTTCAGAGAAAACAAAATATTCAGAGGCTTAGTTGAACAGAGGAGGAACCAAAAAGCAGCACAACCACCGTATTCCCATGGACACTGCTCAGTGTCAGGCTTTTGTCCCTGCACCAGGACCCCCTTCCCCCTCCTTTTTTTTTAAATGGCAGTTATATAAAATTAATGAATGACTCTTAAGACCCTATACCTGTCTCCTGTAGCACACCTCTAAGAAAGCAAAGATCTGCTTGAATCTCTTCAGACAGTCAAGGGAGAGGAACAATTCTGAAAGGCTGCATTTCCCTCATCCTTGTGGCTTTATGTCTAACAAAAGGCACAGGGTTCCATTAAAGGGTCAAGAATATAACACTTAGGATGGTCAATGCTTGTCGTTATGATGCCTAAGTCAGTTTTATGGCCTAGCAGCCATGGAAGAGACTCAGGACTTAATATTTTAAATCTCTTTAACTCAAGTAAGAATGCAGAATGAAAGAAATCAGGAAAAAAAGACAGAAGTGCAACAGCTGAGAGGCAAAATATCTCCCAGTTTAAGAGAGCTACAGCTTAGCAGGACAGTGACACGTGACGCTTGGCAAGTGAAGCTAAACCAAAGGAGATTAAATAGTTAGCACAATATTTCAACAAACAAAATCAGACAACAGGAAAAGAAACAGACCTGCTACAGAAAAGTTTTAAGAAATGGCATGAAACACACTATGATTTTGCCTAGATCCCTAGTAACAATAGCAATCTTGAACATTACAAAGTAACTACACTCATTTTGGGATCAAATTATTTTGATGCCAGGATAACAAAGTAGCAGTTGATCAGAGCACAGACTTTACCTGAAAGATTCTCTTGCTATAAATTGAGGGTGGATGGATCAGGTGAAAATCATCATGGGATGTACTAACTGTATGCCCATGGATGTCAATGTAATAAACAATGTATTAAAATTGTTTTAGGTAAAGGCAAGTATAATGTCACAGTAAACTTTCATATTGCATACAATTCTAGTGCTTTAATAACGACGAACCCGAAGAGGAGCTGAGGACAAACAGTACTGTGACAAGAGGAATGGATCACAAAATTTGAAGTTAGCATTTTAGTCTAGAAAAGTGGAAGGCTCTGCAATTCTACACACAGGGTAAGCCACAGGGAAAATAACTAAACTGAAGGTCAATGATAGGCAGCAAGTACTAATGACTGGACAGTAGAGGCCTGGCAACCATCAGAATGGCAGCATTTAAGACTCCCAGCAAGCCAGGTGAGGATAAATACCTGGACAAGGTAAGGTGCAGCTGGATCAGCTCAGGAACCGCCATCCAGATCTCTCTCAGTATAGGAAGAGGATTAAAGGATACCATCGGTTTGAACAGAGAACATCAGTAAAATCCTAGTGCTTACCCTTTCCATGCCGTTCTTCAAAAGGCTTTCACTTCCTCAGTAAATTGAGCTGGCAAATAAAATGTACATTCACAAAAGGGCAGACGAATTATCAAGGTAAAGAAATGTGCACTACATAGGTGTGATTTCTAACAGGGTAAAAGTTAATAATGATTTACAGTTTCTTCATCATTTCCAAGAGTATCATACGTATGCAATCACAAACTTCCACAGGTGATATTGCATTTCTGGGATAGAAACATCCCAAGCAGTTTCTGTCCCAGCCAGGAAGCTGCTTTCTCCTAAAGACAACAGTTCTTCGGAGGCTCAAAGGAAATATAAGAGGATTCAACTCGGGTGCTCTTCCTTTTATGATAACTACCATTTAATCTCATTCTATGCAAAATACTGCCTATCTCTAATAATGTCTATTAAAAAGTCTTTTAATGTTAGAAGAGACAAAGACTTCCAGCATTTCAATTATCAGCCACTGATTCAAATTTTACTTTTTTTCCCCCCCTCCACAGAAATTTAATTCTGTGAAAGAAATCATTGACTTCTACAAATATGTTCCCATCACGCTTATTGATGGAAAGGACAAATCAGGAATCCAGAGAGAGCAGTGCTACCTTACATACCCACTCCCGCTGTGCAAAAAGTGCTTCCTGCCGTGACGACGCCAACTCGTCTGCGTAAGCCTGCTTGTATTCACCGTGCATATGGATCTTGGGTGTACATTAAACGGTATTCAATAGCCCCTGAAATCAGTAGGTGTCAGTCAATGCACGGGACCAGATTATAAGATTAGCTTGAATGAAATAAATCCTGCTACTTGACATGAGCGAGACTGATTCCTTAGCTCTAGTGAGATACAGGCATTCATAGCTGAGCTTTCAAACACTTATGCAGTAAGACCATTTATGCAAAAAATCCCTTTAAATTGCCTGTGCAAATCTAGAGATAAAAGACACTATTGGGAATAGCCTAAGTGTTTAAACTCAACAAAAAAGATTTTCCAGTCTGTACCAGAGAAGGTGATATTTTTCCAGTACAAACTATAATACTATGTTCATATGATCAGAGGTTTGGAAGACTTGAGCTTAGTTGGAATATGAAAAGCAAACATGATGCTGCACAGAAAAGTTCTCAATAGTCTCCCTTTCTAAAGTTTGACTAGTTAATTGGACAACACCGGAGCAACCCCAGTTGCCTCATCGTTAGAGAACAAGAGGAATAAAAACATCCAATACAAATTATGACATAGCACACAATGGCACAGACTAGTTCAACAAAAATATAGCAGCCGGTTGTTGATGTACTTGAAATCTTTTTACTTCTATATGCTGCATCAAAATGCAAAAGCAATTCATTACAATTATTTACCTGAAACCACTGGGACTAGTTACCTGAAACTACCGAACCTCCTGAAGGAAATTATTCAGAACAGCTGAGGTAGTCTGGCAGAACTCATCGAAAGGATGAGAGGCATGAAATAAAGGCTTTAGCAAGAGGTGGCTTTAGCAAGTCACTATACAATTTAATTTATGAAAGGTATTATATTTTTAAGAAGACATTTTCCAAACTAATTACATGAAAAAAATAACACAGCTTAACAATTTAGACAACAGACTGTGTCACTGACATAAGCTTTTGTAGATGTCTACTAAAGCAAAGACAGAAGCATTACTAGTATGTGTAAAAAATCTGCAGTTCCTAATGCTGAACAACACTTTAAAAAAGAAAAAATACAGCTTGTTGGGAATGTTCTAGTTTTGCCAGAGACAATTCTTAAGAGAATTCAAAAACATTTATTTAGTAGCTTCTACAGAGACAAAAATAATTCAAACAGTAACCTGGACTTAAGGAGTTTAAACAACAGAGAAAATGAAGTATGTTTTTTCTTGTGTTAACAATTTCAATATTACATATGATATGGTAGGATTTTAAAATAAAAGTATTTTCACAATCAAAAATGCATATAGTACTGTTAGGTTTGGCATCAAAGTACATGAAGTGAAAAAACCCTCTAGTGTATACTCATCTAAAAAAATATAATTCCATTTGCATACAAAATGAGAACTGTTGTTTTGTTATTACTAACAGATAAAAGGAAATTTGTTCTGTGGAATAGGCTAGCCTATGGCACAAATGATATAAAAATGTTTAATGTGAACACAATGATGTATCAGATCTGACTGCTGAAAGCACCAAATACCTGAAGGATTTTAACACTGTATTGCAAAATGGTTGGAAAGCAATATTCTAAGTGTTTTTTTTTTCAAAATAAACCTCAATCAGAAGATGTACTTTATAGCCCTAAAATATTTACATTTCAATAAAGATACCGTACATACTTTATCAAAAGCAATGTATAATCTGCCAGAGTATAAAAAAAATATTTCCAGCCTAGTTAAATCGTTTACAAAAATGCACCAATAGTGAAAAGAAGTTAGGAACTACAAGTTCTTCCAAAGAGTAGTTCCAGTTCAAACATATAATACATATCCAGCATAAGAGTATTGACTTGTTATCTGTAAAAATGCAAGAAGTCATTTTAATTGCAAGTATGTGCTTAATTCAATAGAGTTCATTCTATATCATTTTAGAATAGAATGATTGCCAGGAATAGGAAAACACTCACATACAGAAACTTTAGACTGCAGTACTATCTCTCCTCCTTCTTTACTAAAATCTTGAAATTTGGCCCTAATTTAGGAAAGTATTTAAACAAATAAGTATACTGCTTACACTGCACTCAAGTTGGTAGAACATACCATATGTACATATGTAGCTAGGCAAATACTTATATGAATTGATGCCTACCAAAAATATATTCTAAATATCTAACCTCTTAATCTAAAGAAGGATGAGAGACTGCACTGGAAGTCTGGTTAAACACTGTCAACATAAATGCTGTGCAACATGGTTTTTCATCTTGAAAAGTCCTCAGCAAGTTCTCCCTGCGAATAAGCATGAACTCGCTGACCAGGGATCTAACCAAAAGCCCAATTCTGCACAAGTGTCTCTGTCAGGCGGCACGAGCACAGGGTGACAGGCAGGTATATACTTGGCTCTTCACTCCTTGAACTTCTGAACAGTCTGCTGGGACCACATAGGCTGTTAGGAAAGAGCAGCTTATCTCTAAGTTTGAGGAAACCTAGAGCTCTGCCTGCTCAGCACAAACGGAGCATAAAAAGCCAGCCAGATACCTGTCTCTCTCTCAGGCCAGGTTTTTCAGTGCCATCTTATGCAGTAGGAGCAACTGATCTCACAGATTCTTCATTTCTAACCTTGCATACCAATGCAGTCCACAGAGGTGCTTCTGTCCCACTAAAGCAGGGTACTTTCATTTAAGTTTCTTTTTCACAGCACTTACTTTATCACTAAAGCTATGATGTATACTTGCTGCTCACAGAGGACCAAAGGTATTTTTAATACCTGTATGACTGATTTTTGAAACACTACGTTGTAATCAAAAAGAGTTAAATTTACACATATCTTGTAGTCTAAGATTCCAATTCATACCAAACTAGCACAAACCAGTTACAAGCACAGTATCCTAGCACAGAAAATGGCAACGAGAAAGATGTTTGCATAGCAAATCTTCAGATTTCTTTCAGGGAACAGATGAAGTTGTCTTCTGGTACTTATTTCAAATAGGAGAGTGCAAAGTAGTGCTTAGCCCTCACTATCGGCTTCTCATTATCTCTGTAACTCTCCTCTCCCACTTTGCTAACAAAAAAAAACCTTTTGGCAAAACAAAGGAGTTATTTCTATCTTCCCTTCCAAACAAAGTAGTGTCAATCATTAAAAATAAGACAAATAAGCTAATCTCTCACTTGATGTTTTTTGTTGGAAGAGAAAGAACATCCCAACCCTTGGTTGCCTCTATCAAGTGCCTCTGTCCGTGACTTATCCATTCTTCCTGGTCCACATACACTCTTCCACAAAACCAGCACTTAAACATACACTGAAGTGATTCAGCTGGTGAAGCTTCCACCACCTGGTAGTTATTTTTATGTGTTTTTTTTAGTTTCGTTTTTAACATATTCTGCTTTTTTGTTTGGTTTCCTGTCTCTGCATTCTGAAGAGTGAGACGTTTTCGGTAACGTTTCACACCAAGACAACTACTTGTCCTTTCTGAGAGAACTACTTTCAGGACGTGACCTTTATACTTGTTGATAGTTTTCATGACATTAATTATCTCTGGCGAGTCAACATCAGGATGGTTTAATACCACAACTGGCTGGTTACGACGAGGGCATTTTATCAACTGATCCGTTCTCAAAGGGACAAGCCTGAGACGTCTTGCTGTCAACAGATAGGCCATGTCAGAACCAGAGCTGGTTTCTGATTGAGTTCTTGTTTTCCTCTTGGGAAGTTCCCTGAAACTTGCTTGTTTTCCTTTATTTTTGGGTCCTTGCTGACTCTTTGAATGGAGTTTGCTTTGCTTACTTACATCACTACTTTTTTGACAGGAGACGCTGCTTTGTTTACTATTATTTTTCACACTTGCCTCTCGCTTTGGTCTTTGTCTGAGTGAGATATTTCGGGCTGGAGCATTGGGTTCACTCAGATTAGATAAACACGGCAAATAACTGCCAGGTTTCTCAGAAACACTGACAGGAACGGGACGAGGCAGCAGCATTTCATTGCAATATGCAGAAGGAACTGATGTTTCACTCCTGCTTTCTATTCCAGTTGGGTCTTGACCGCTGGCAGCATTCAGCACTCTCAGCACTGTCCCTTTGGGAATAAACACTGGAGTGGCAACATGGGAGTTTTTAGCCATCCTGCTTTTAGATGCCTGTGCAACTGTAAGGAGTTGGTCTTCACTGTGTTCTTCACCACCAATCACACTGTTCCCACCAAGCAGCTGAGGCCAAGATACAGATTGTTCCAACTCAGCAGCAGGGGCAATTCTCTCACAGCTTGCTGAATTTTCCTGAGACAAAAGCACCTTTTTACTAGCGACTTGGCATCTCAAAGGCATAGACTTCATGTTAGACTCAGCAGCAGACATCAACTGAGCAATCTTTCTGCACAGCAATGTTGCTGACTTTTTACTGCATGTTGTATCATCCCATCTAATGCCTTCTGGAACATTTTCAGCACCAGAGCTAAGAGAAAATACAGATGAAATGACAGGTCCCTCAAAAGGGCTGGCATAGTTTTCCATTCTCTGTAACTCTAGTGATTCTAGGAGAAGATTGTTCTTTGGATTTATGGCATCAACTCCCTTCAATTTGCTTAAGCTAACATTCGTATGCTCCAAAGGTGAAGTTTTAGTGACGTGAAAATTTCTTCCTGCTTCACAAGATTTAATAGATTTGTTATCAAAATCCGTAGTAAATAAACATATCCCTGGAGAGTTGATGAGTGGACTCTTACATTCATTGTCTTCACTCTTCAAAGGCAATGTATCCTTTTCTTTAAGGAGTGCAGAAGAAGAGGAATTTTTGCCTTCTTGAACAGCGTTTCCTGAAACATTCTTGGAACTTTTATCTTCAGAAGTAGTGGCATATTTGGAAGGGGATACATCCAGACTTCCTTTGTAACAGTACAAGTCATAACGCAAATTATTTTTGCCATCTGTTTCTCTCCTTAAGGATTTAGGATCACTTTCTTTTTCAGTACTACAAGTCACTAGAGACTGAGAACAAAGTTCTATAACACTTGAATGGACATCAATACCTTTCACCAAATGAAAGCAAAATTTCGATGCATCTTCCTTCTGTGTAGAGTTACAGTCCGAGGGTTGACTGCTAGAAGTATAGAAACATTCAGAATTCTTACCATATATGCTATCTGATGTAAGCTGGTTGCTAACACTGGATAATTTGTCTACATTCACTTCCATGGTTAGCAACTCATTTTGAAACGTGGAAGGTATTTTTCTTCCTTCTGTAGGTCGTTCTGTACCTTGATTCTCGGGTTCGTCTTCATCACAGTTCACAGGTTTGGAAGTTCCATCTTTCATAGGAATTAATTTAAGAACCAGCTGTCGTGCTCCATTTACTATTTTAATCTCTACTATTTGAGCTAAGCAGTTAGAGGGAACTACAAGTTCAGATGGTGCAATTACTGTTAAAGGCATCCCAGGTTGCAAAGGTTCTGTTTTTGGAGAATACACCTCAACTTCCACGCTTTGATTCTCACATACACTTACTTCAGATGGCTCCAACAATGTTTTGTCCTGGTTGGAAGTTGCATTTCTGATACATTCTATATCATGAGACAAACAGACTATTTTAGTCCCTTTATCTGGAACTTCACGAATAGTATTGGGAGACGAGCTTGGAAATTCATTTCGTAAAGGTTTTTTTTTATCATATTTCTGCTTTTGATATAAAGTGCTTTGACTTGGCAAGCAAGATTTTTTCTGCTTATGGTTTACGGGGGTATTTTTTAGCCGTTTTGTGGGCATTTCATGCACTCTTCTTGTATGTTTTACAATATAATCATGTCTAACAGCACCATATTCACAGTATTCACACTGATATGGAAAAGTGCCAGTGTGTTTCACCAAATGTCTCTGGAATTCTCCTTTGGTGTAGGATACATAACCGCAGTGGGAACATATAAATTTAATTTCGTCATGTTGACTTACATGCTTTTTATACTGCAAAGGATCCTTTGTTGAAAATCTACATTTATCACAGTAATATTTACCCGGCAGGAAGTTCTTTACTTTAAAAGTTTTCTGGTTTTTACTTGGGGATGTTTTTTCTTGTTTTTCAAAGTCTACAGCACTGGCACCCTCAGGAACAAAATGGAGGGCAGGTTGTGTAATATGACTGCATTTCTTGCAGATGAAAGAACTGTCTTCAGTCCACCCAAGTTTCTTATGCTTTTCTATATCCTGCATTGAAATTTTCTGAACATTTCTGCATTTCATACAGCTTATTAGTGAGAGCTTATTATTCTCAGCCTCAGTCCCTTGGTAACAGCAATTCTGGTCATCATCCCCTTTTGATGGATTAGCTTTATCCTCTGAAGACTGTTTTGGGGAGGTACTTAAGGAATTATTTTCATCACTAAGTTGTCCAGGATACAATTTTGGTAAGATTTCCCTCATTTTTTTCAGCTGCATTTCAGAATATTCAACTCTGCACCGGTGTATTCAAACCACAGAAGCAACAGGCAGAAAGTTTTCTTGGTAGTAGTCTTGCATATGTTGCTTATCAGTCAATCATCCAGGTCACCAAATCTGTGAAATACACACTTGGGAAGAAAAACTGCTCAGAGAAGTGCATCCATGTTATATTCCCAGTCCTTCACTCTGTTCCATCAACCTGCAGCACTAACGAAATAAAAAGCAGAAGATTACATCAGTTAAGATCTACTAATCAATGTGTTAGAGAACCTACAGCTAAATTACAGTGTGCAAATCTACTGTTAATATAATATTGTGTTGGGCACCCACAACTATTAATTCTAAGCAAAACATACACAATCAATGAATCATTTAATGTTTGTTCATAATCAAAGTGTTCTTAAATTCATAAAATGACCTGATCTCTACCAAAACCTGGACTGTTTGCATCTCTTCCGTTTTCAAAAAATTTTACATTCAGAATGTACTTAAGCTTAAAAAAAAAAAAAAATTCTTAGTAACAGAATTGAGCACCAAAATATGATTTCAGTTCATACGCAGCCCCCGACTCAGGAAAAGATATTATTAAGCACTACAGATGTCACTCTCCTTGGAATCTGAGAAGAGGAAAGAAACTGCAAGCCTTACTAGAAACACAGAACCATGAATTTGTTTTTATATATCAAGAATTTCAAGGCAACTTGAATATCCTTAAGTACAGATGAAAGTTCTTTTTTAATCAGTGCCAATGTTTCCAATCCAAGACTCCTGAATGCTAAATCATAACAGGCAAATTCTACTTCACAAGTTCTCAAAATAATTAAGTCAAAATAATCTGTGGTTGCATAAAATTAATACTTTCAGTTTTCTTAGTACTGCAATATGATCATTTCTGCCTATCTAGACAAGCATTCCAATAATTCACTCCCCCTTGATAATATAGAGTGTGTAAAACAAGCAAAATAATCAATCCAGTGTAAAACAGAGGGAAAACAGTGGTGAGAAACCACCACCACATCAATCTGTGCAGAATATTTGGTCGCACAGGTTCCACAGCTGTAACTGTCTCTTTTCTAAATTTAACATGGACAAGAGCTCGGCTTTAAGAGCTTTTGCCAAGACTACAGACCACAGATATTTGGAAAATAAACAAATAAAAACTGTCCTTTTGAAATACATACAGGATAAATGTCAGTCATATGATGTCCAAAGTTAACAGCAATGACTATAATCTATTCAACGTCTCTCTTACTTAAGCATTTGTCCTTATAGAGTGCTGCACAGACAGGCATCTGCACATAGACCCTAAGGTACTTCTGGATTCCATCACATTTCAATATATCCTGCTACTATCCTATAGTTGCTTCTGCAAGCAAATTCTTCTCCGTGTGTATCGACAGAGAGCACTGTTTGAGCACAGAGCTCCTATCATCTACAACTATCCTACTAAGGAGGCCTCATTCAGGTGGGTTATTGTCCACCACAGTGCACCTTCAACAGCTTCACCTTGAGAAGCCACTATCTGACCCAGAAAGCTGTTCTTGCATTGCCCTCGCTCCATCTGCTAGTGAACCTGACAGCTAAAGCCCCTAGGAACAGGCCTCTGCAAAAAGCAAGCACACTGATTTCTGTCAGCCTCAAACAGCAATAAAATAAGTTATAAGTTTGCTCAGGGACAAGATTGGGCTTTTTTGCCCTTAGCAGGTAGATAATTGCATACATGTAAAACTTGCTAGCAGGTAATTTCTTAGGACTAGTAACTTCACCTCATAATGATACAGACAACTACACCCAGCTACATCCATATCTGGGGAAAAAATAAATGGCATTCTCCCAGGAAGTCAGAGGAGAAATCATGTGGAAAAAGAACAAGTCAATGCTGAAATGACACTCATGTTGTTTCTCCACCCATTTATTTCTCCAGTTTCTCGTGAATGCCAAATACCTAATAGGAAAAGTTTTAATGCAAACTTCTACTTTGTCATTATTTTGAGAAAATATAGAAAACTTTCATACAATACCAGGTGTATTTTGGGTCTTGCTGTTTAAGACACCGCGATCAAGAGAACACATTCGAACTTAGCTCATCATTCTAAAGAAGAGTATTCTCAGTGTTTCAGTTCCCTTTTTTATTTTGATACCTAATGAATAAAGAGCATGTGACAAACAGCATGCATTTATCATACGTGATCAAACTAGTAAGATTTTACTCCAGCCAAGTGCAGCACCTCTCACATGCTAAGTTCATAGGCTGCACCCAACCATCAAAGCCTGCCCTGGTATTGCAAAGGCAAAAATCAGTCATTTCCTAAGAGAAGGAAGATTTTAAAAAGAATCAGAAGACACTAAGTTTCTTTTTTTTTTTCTTTTTCTTTCTTTTTTTTTTTTAAAGAAACTCAAGTATGCACATTTGTTTGAACTTTACAACCACATACTGTACATATACTACCAACTTAACAATGACTGCGTCCCTGTTGAGCAGAGTTAACTGTACCAGTGACCCAACTCAATAGTCACAATTATTGTCCTCTAACTTGAGACCAAAGGACGAGAGATCCAAAGCTCTTCGCTCAAGTGTAACACACTAATTAAAAGAATTGATTTTGCATTAAAAACAAACCATTCAAATATTCCAAAAGAGTACTTTCCTACAATTATTTCTTCTTGAAGACATCTTTTTTCACCGTGACAACTAGGCACACAATCACAATACTTTCTGTATCTGAAATCCACATAAAGCTTCTCCCCCAAAATAAATCAGAATTGTCAACATGGAGGATTAAGAAGTGCAAAGACCATGCATCACTTTTTAAAAAAGATTTTATTATCAAGCACACATTTATTCCACTCTATGGGAAAATCTTAATTACATGAAGTTTTTACTAATTACGGTATAAAGTTATGCAAAATATTGATTAAAACCATCTCACACTTTCTAATGCATTTTCCAAAGAAAATAAAAAGGTGAACATGTATTAATGAAATTATAGAGTATTGTACTGAAACGGAGGCCTGTGATTCTGACACCCCATTCTGACACACATGATTCTGACACCCGATTCAAGCAGCATATTGCTCAGCAATCTTGTTGCAATGCACTCAACAAGACATCTTAAAATAACTCCTGCCTCAGAAGTAATATTTGAGTGCCCAAAGCTCCTACAGTTGCTTGTAATTAGACATATATTCACCAACTTTTACATTTACGTTGCACATGCCTCCATCTTACAGAATTTACAGCCATTTTAAAAGATCCTCCAAGCACCCAAAGCACTTGGTCAGTAACATTTAGTGTTACTCTCTCCTAAGCTTTAACACTTGTAAGCAAGAAAGCAAGGCATAAAGGAAAGCAGAGCCCCATTACAGGTACACACTCCTCCATGCCCAGCCCTCAAAACACTGAAAAACTTCATTCCTGCCAAAATTACCCGCATATAGTATGTGCAAGAGCAGGGCCTCGACTGCAACCTATTACTGCAATAGAAATGCACATCAGAACGTGAGCAAAGCCCTCTGTAACACCGTTAAATAGTCTTCTTGGGAATAAAGAAGCCCTTTTTTAAGGAACACAGACATGTGTGACCGAACAGGCGCATCCAGGCGCAGCCCGAGCCCCTCCATGTGCCCCGCTCGCCGCCT